TCATTTTCCTATCCCACAAGTCTAGAAATGCTGGTATTCAGACCTGACTGTTCCATTTTTTAACAATCCACAGCAAAAATAAACAAAATTGTTGTCAGCTCGCCAAAATTACAGAGTATTTTTATTTTTGTAGAAACAAGGTCTTATTATTTTGACCTGGCCAATCTCAAACTCCTGGCCTCAAGTGATCTTCCCACCTCAACCTCCCAAAATGTTTGGATTATAGGCATGAGCCACTGCACGCAGCCAGAATAAATCATATTTAAAGAGACTAAATTGGCCGGGCGCGGTGGCTCATGCCTGTAATCCCAGCACTTTGGTAGGCTGAGGCGGGCGGATCACCTGAGGTCGGGAGTTCGAGACTAGCTTGGTCAGCATGGTGAAACCCTGTCTCTACTAAAAATACAAAAATTAGCCAGGCGTGGTGGCACATGCCTGTAATCCCAGCTACTCAGGAAGCTGAGGCAGGAGAATCACTTGAACCTGGGAGGCAGAGGTTGCGGTGAGCAGAGATCACGCCATTGCACTCCGGCCTGGGCAACAAAGCGAGACTCTGTCTCAAAAAAAAAAAAAAAAAAGAAGACTAAATTATGCACCTTAGCTTATGCATTTGTCTATAGTTGATGTGCTATTGAGTCTTCTCTACCTATGAAAAAGCAGGTCAATCAAGAGTTAGCAATTAGTTAAGGAGAATGTAGTAAGGAGTCTGTGCTATTTAATCACTGAGGATGCATCCTGGTCAGTCACTGTCTCAAAGAGTTCAGGTTCCTGGAGAAGACAAAATGTGCGGCAACAGGCCAAGTGCAGAGGTTCACGCCTGTAATCCCAGCACTTTGGGAGGCCAAGGCGGGTGGATCACCCGAGGTCAGGAGATCCAGACCATTCTGGCCAACGTGATGAAACCTCGTCTCTACTAAAAATACAAAAATTAGCTGGGTGTGGTGGCAGGCACCTGTAATCCCAGCGACTCGGGAGGCTGAGGCAGAGAATGCCTGAATCCAGGAGGCAGAGGTTGCAGTGAGCTGAGATCGCACCACTGCACTCCAGCCTGGGCAACACCGCAAGACTCCGTCTCACAAAAAAAAAAAAAAAAAAAAAAAAAATTAGCCGGGTGTGGTGGCAGGCACCTGTAATCCCAGCTACTTGGGAGGCTGAGGCAGAGAACTGCTTGAACCCGGGAGGTGGAGGTTGCAGCAAGCCAAGATTGGGCCACTGTCTCCAGCCTGGGAGACAGTGTGACTTCATCTCAAAAAAATAAAAATATAAACAAAAATAAAAATAAAAAGGTGAGGCAACAAATACATTGCATGACAAGGCAATAACAGGAGATGCTGCACTAGATAAAATGGAGGGGGTGACCATTGCTGCTTAGAAGGACAAAGAGGAAGCAGGCTATAATATCAAGTAAGATAGAGACAGAAAACTAGCAATTAAAAGGTCACTGGCAAGCAGAAGTGGTGACTCACGCCTGTAATCCCAGCACTTTGGGGAGGCCAGGGCGGATGGATCACTTGAGGTTAGGAGTTCGAGACCAGCCTGCCCAACATGGTGAAACCCTGTCTCTACTAGAAATACAAAAAATTAGCCGGGCATGGTGGCAGGCGCCTGTAATCCAGGTACTCCGGAGGCTGAGGCAGGAGAATCTCTTGAATCTGGAAGGCGGAGGTTGCAGTGAGCCAAGATCATGCTAATGTACTCCAGCTTGGCAACAAGAGCGAAACTCCGTCTCAAACTAAATTAACATAAAATAAAACAAAACAAAATATTAAAAAAAAAAGTCACTGGCAACCTCTACTAACCACATTTACAGGCAAAAGTTACTTTGTATTGTGTTGGGAAGCAAATAAGGCTAGGAGGTGTAGAAAATCTTTTTTAGACTGATTAGAGAAACTTATATTCAAGAAATAAAAAATGCAAGCAAATAAGCGAGCATAGTGGTCTTCAGGCAAATACAAAAGAAAAATATTCAAAATAATGCACTGAAAGGCTAGTCTTCAAACAAATTCACATAAACCAATTGGTGATTTAACAAGTGAAAACAGAGGTGGTTTTTTTTGTTTTTTTTTTTTTAGGGCTACTCCATAAGCAGTGTTAAGAGTAGCCTGCAGCCCAGCAGGGCATGGTGGCTCATGCCTGTAATCCCAGCACTTTGGGAGGCAGAGGTGGGCGGATCACGAGGTCAGGAGTTCGAGACCAGCCTGGCCAACATGGTGAAAGCCAGTCTCTACTAAAGATACAGAAAAAAAAATAAGCCGGGCGTGGTGGGATGTGCCTGTAATCCCAGCTACTCGGGAGGCTGAGGCAGGAGAATCACTTGAACCCAGGAAGCAGAGGTTGCAGTGAGCCGAGATCGCCCCATTGCACTCCAGACTGGGTGACAGGGTGAGACTCCGTCTCAAAAATAGAGCAGCCTGCAGAGGTTTCCTTCATAGTTTTTCCAGAGTTGTTCCAAAGGTCAGGTTACCATACTACAGACCACCATATACTACTTACCACAAAAGCATTTTTGGAAAGGTCTCTTCGTAATCATTTGTGAGAAACAGAAAGTAATTCAAAATTTAACATCATTAAAAGGCAGTCTTCTTCCAATTTTGTCAAAATTCTTTTCGTTCAGTCATAGAAACCTAATAACATCAGCAATACTCCTTAATTCAGGGTAAATGGTCAAATACCTTTGCTCCCAAACCAATCATCTCTCTGGGACTGCTTGTAATTTCCAAAAGCCCAAACACTTCCGCACAAGGGAAAAAAAACAAAAACTGAAAATAAAAACCTAGTTATTTAAAATGTTTAAATGCCCTAAGACTACAAAGAATACAGTTCCTTGATATTAATGGAAGATACAGCTGGGCATGGTGGTTCATGCCTGTAATTCTAGCACTTTGGGAGACCCAGGCAGGCAGATCACCTAACTCAGGAGTTCAAGACCAGCCTGGGCAACATGGCGAAATCCTGTCTCTACATAAAATACAAAAATTAGCCAAAGTGGTGGCATGCACCTGCAATCCCAGCCACTCAGGAGGCTAAGGTAGTAAAGTGGGGGGGACTGTTTGAGCCCAGGAGGTCGAGGCTGCAGTGAGCCAAGATTGTGCCACTGCACTCCAGCCTGGGCGACAGAGCGAGAACCTGTCTCAAAATAAGTAAATAAATAAAAATAGTGGAAGATAGATAGTTCTGGAATGTGAAAATTCTTCTGTATTTCAGCATTTCAGATTTCTCCAAGGTTAGAATAATTCGGCTCAAGAACCAAAGTGCATTAAGAATGTTTAATTCACAAAGGATAACAGCCATATTCATCCTACCCTCTAAGGTGAGAAAAGCCCCTTGCTTATATGGAAGGAGAAAACAATTTGAAATTTAAGCCTATTTACTATTTTGTTGGTACTCTCAATTTTCTTTTTAATCATAATTGTTAGCAAGGCCTGTAGCTTTAAAATCCTTAAAAAAAATCCTTATCCAATTACCTAATCCAAGTTCACTTAACTAGTTATGAGAACTCTATTTGAGTAACAAAACAAGTCTCTACAGGAGCAGAGCAAGACGTACACTCCTACTTAAAAGTACTGTCTGATGAAAAGCACTCTATTTACTTCTCTAGATATAACATGTTTAATGTGAAACCCTTTCTGTGGAACTAAAGAAAAACGTTTACTTAAAATAAATGCTCAAAGGAACTTTTCTAACCTCACTATTGATTTCTTAGGTGCAGTTTGTCCAAAACCCTCCCTCGGTCAAGCCCCCACTCAGAAAAGGTGCCTTACACGCGACGTTACTTGGTTGCTATTACACTTGGTTTCCAAGTCACAAAGGGATTCCTTTTCAGGGGAGAGAATAAAGCATAAGAAAAAGAGAGGATCACCCTCTTGGAGTGATTGATCAAGTCAGGTTCTCACTTAGAGATCCTGTTTAAACACAAGACGCTAAAACACACCATCTTGCTCCGTGTCACAGGACCAGATCTCTCGGGATAAATTAAGCGACGGGCTGAAAATGTAGGAGCTGAAACTACACCAGCAGCAGCTCCGCGTTCTTATCAAAACAATAGCGAGTGGCACATGTCAGGCAGCCCACATGCGCAGGGGGATAAAGCGGCGCCTGGCTGAGTCTGGAGTTGAACTTGTCTTAACCCCCTCCCCCAACACCCTCCACCGCGCTCCCGGCTACGCGAAAGTGAAAACGAGGGGCGCCTAAGGCCCTGCTTCTTCCCCCTTCCTCTTCCCCTTGCCCAGCCGCGACTTCTTCCTCACTGATCTCCCGGGGGCGGAGACGCTGAGTTCCCCGGAGACGAGAGTTAGTCACCAAGAAGAGGCGGTGACAGAGAGCGCGGCTCCCGTCGCACTCCGAGGCCTAGCAGCGCCGGACGGGAGGCCGCCTGCGGAGGCTCTCGCGTCCCGCGTCCTCCACCCCTGGCCCGCAGGGACGCTCCCTCCTTCCCTTCTAGAACGAGTCTCAACTCCGCTCCTCTCCCCTACCCCAGGCAGCTCCAACGTCAGACCCCACTCCCGACTGAGAAAACGAAGCCCAGCCCAGCCGTTTCCTGCCCACCGGGGCAGGAATTCCCTCCCCCGACCCATGGACTGCGGCCCCACGTCGCTGACCCTAGCGGGGATCCCCTCGGCCGCCGGGAGGGGATCCCGGAACTGGCCCCGGAGTGCGCGTGTGGCCGCGGCGGGGAGGGGCGAGGCGGGGAGTTTCCGCCGCCCCGCGGCCAGGAGGGCGGGAGGGCGACAGCAGAGGCTAAGAGCGGTTCCCGAGGCCGGCCGGGGACCCCAGCCTCCTCCGCCACGACCAACCCGCGTTCCCCACGCGCGCCGCCGCCAGTTGGCCCCGCGCGTTCTCCAAGTGGAGGCTAGGAGGCAGAGAACCGCGGGCCCGGGGCCACCCGTCACTTTCAAGTCACCCCGCCAGAAGCCCAGGGCGAGGAAAAGGAGAGAGACAAAAGGGCGCTGGGGAGGGAGTCCCCACACCCCCCGCGGCCCCGCACCCTGCCCAGCTCTTACTCGTAGTGGCGGAAGATCTCGTTGGTGACTTTACAGTAGAAAACTTCCTCGTCGGGCCGTAGGTCCGCGGGCGGCTTCTGTCTCACAAACGGCTTTCGGTGTAGCAGCGGCATCTCCCGTCCGCCCGCGGGCTCGCCCGGACCCTCGGCCGCCCGCGCCGGCCCCGCTTCCCTATCAAAATTGGAGGGAAAGGAAAGCCGGTAAGGTGGGGAGCGCTCGGCGGCAGCGTGGGCCGGTCCGCGCGCCGGGAGAAGCTCGGCTGCCTTTTGTGTGACTGACGGGCCGCGGCCGCTACCGGAGCCGAGTTCGTTCCTGCCGCTGCCCGGGCGTCGAGCGAGCGGAGCCGCCGCCGCCCCTTTCCCCCGAGCGCGTCCTGCCTCCTCGCCCAGCCGCTGGCTCACAATGGGGCAGGACGCCCCGCCGCGGGGGGCAGTGCGGGAGCGGCGGCGGCGGCCCCCTCCCCCAGCGCCGGCTCCCCGCCCGCCGCCGCCGCCGCCGCCGCCGCCAGGCTCACAACGTGCTCGGCGCGCAGCCGGCCGGCCGGCCAGGGCGCTCGCCGCGGGCGGACCCCAGCGCCGCTCCGCTTTGTTCCCGGCTTGCCTCCACTTCCCGGCCGGCTCCCGAGCGACCCTCACCTGCGAGCACGCCGACTGCCACTTGTCCACCTTCTCCACTACAAAGGCAACGAGGGGAGACCCCGTCCTCTCAGGGGACCGCCTCTCTCCGGCCCCGCCGCGCCCCTGGCCGCCACTTCTCCCGCTGCCACTGCCCGACTCCGCGCGGGGAATTGCGTCCCACCGCCACTTCCCCGCCTCTCGGAGCTCCTGGGAAGTTTCTGATCTACTTTCGGCTCTGAAGGAGGAAGAGCTGTTGGGAGGAGCTTTTCACTCCTCGCTTCTACCTTTTTATTGGCTACTCGATGACTTTTACAGCCTGTCACTGATACAGGAAGAGACAGCGGAGAGCCTGGGAGAGCTACATTATTAATTAATGGAGCAACCCCTCGTGAAGATTCAGAAGCATCCTCCATGTTTGAGATTATCAGCCAAAAGATCTAGGGAAAGCGCTGGCGGTTCATAAACACATGGCTAACAAAGTATATCCTTGAAGTCTGCCACCGACGCTTGACTACACGATGGGAAAAGGGATTCCAATTACGATTTAACTTGTATTTTAAAAATGAGAAAAGAAATGAATAAGAAAATTTGTTGCTATTTTTCTTCTTCCAAATTAGAATCCGTATCTCTAAAAATACTTTGCATGTTTAGTAAACATCTGTCTTGAACTAGAAGATACCTTGACATCAGTTCTATTTAATACTTATGGCAATTAAAAGGTTTAGAGAGCAGAGGAAAAGACCAAAAAAAAAATGTGTTACAAAGTGTCATCATGCTTGTAGGACCCCAACATTCTTGAAACTAACACACCTTTAAAAAGTAATATTTACAATGCTGTAAATATTTGCAAAGTATCAATGTTTAATTCAATTAGAATTTTAAGGATTATGGATTTACTAGCGAAAATTCCCCTAAAGCAACTTTCCCATATCAGTAATTTTTATTTAGGGAAACAATTTTAATGTACATAATACATGTGACCTTGGAATTCAATACAATTTTCGAAACTAGAAGTGACTCAGAACGTTCACTGGATGTGTTTTAAAGTCTTTTTTGATACTGTCCTTAACATTTGCTTATTTGAAATTAATATGAAAGAATGAAGCTAAAAGTTAGTTTTAAAAACGGTTATTCAGGCCGGGCGCGGTGGCTCAAGCCTGTAATCCCAGCACTTTGGGAGGCCGAGACGGGCGGATCACAAGGTCAGGAGATCGAGACCATCCTGGCTAATCCGGTGAAACCCCGTCTCTACTAAAAAATACAAAAAACTAGCCGGGCGAGGTGGCGGGCGCCTGTAGTCCCAGCTACTCGGGAGGCTGAGGCAGGAGAATGACGTAAACCCGGGAGGCGGAGCTTGCAGTGAGCTGAGATCCGGCCACTGCACTCCAGCCTGGGCGACAGAGTGAGACTCCGTCTCAAAAAAAAAAAAAAAAAAAAAAAAACGGTTATTCGACAAAGTTAGTTTTAAGAACCGTTATTTGACAAAGACGTTATTCCTATTACCAATACTGCGGAATGATAATTACAGAAACAATGTGGGATCCGTTTTATAACTTCAAATTTAAGTTCATTTGTACTTTGGAGCAGAAAATGGAAGAAATCTAAATCAAGAGTTACTTTTTTATCTTTCAGGCTGGTTTTAATTGTTCATACACCTAACAAAATAAACATTTGTGAAAGGCGTTATTCTTTGGGTGTTTTAAAATTCATTAATACTATTAATGCACCTTACTATACAGAAGTCACAGAAGTTAGAAATGCTCTCAGTAAGTAGTAAATATATACTTTAGTATCGATAAACTCTTCAAATAAGAGTTTACAGATTTGATTATTTTTCTTTTCTTTTCTATTTTTGGAGACAGTCTCACTCTGTGCCCCAGGCTGGAGTGCGATGGCGAGATCTCGTCTCACTGCAACCTCTGCCTCCTGAGTTCAAGCGATCCTCCTTCCTCAGCCTCCGGAGTAGCTGGGATTACAGGCGCACACCACCACGCCCAGCTAATTTTTGTATTTTTAATAGAAACGGGGTTTCGCCACGTTGGCCAGGGTGTTCTCAACCTCCTGATCTCAGGTGATCCGCCCGCCTCGGCCTCCCAAAGTGCTGAGATTACAGGCGTGAGCCACGGTGCCCGGCCAAGATTTGGGGTTTTAAACCTGTCTCCAACTAGTATACTGAGTGACAAGTTAGAATTCCCCGCCTAGAAAGTATTTATTAGGCCGGGCGCGCTGGCTCATGCCTGTAATCCCAACACTTTGGGAGGCCGAGGCGGGCAGATCATGAGGTTAGGAGGTCGAGACCATGCTGGCCAACGTGGTGAAACCCTGTCTCTACTAAAAGTACAAAAATTAGCTGGGCATGGCAGTGGGTGCCTGTAATCCCAGCTGCTCGGGAGGCTGAGGCAGGAGAATCGCTTGAACCCGGGAGGCGGAGGTTGCAGTTATCTGAGATGGCGCCACTGCACTCCCGCCTGGGAGACAGAGACTCCGGCTCAAAAAAAAAAAAAGGAAGTATTTTTATTGATCTATCAGGTGAAAAATTTAGAGCCCACAAAGGTAAACTCAAAAGGGGGACTGGGAGAATGGATAATTTTCAACCTATATTGAAGCATCACCCCACAACTCAAAATCCCAACTTAACAGTTAAGCTAAATAAAGACGAAATTCTTTCTGAATACTTCAGTATTTATATTTACTAGATCTTACTGTTCAATAAGTCATTCAAATCATGATCTAAAGTCGTTATTTTATTATTAAATACAAATATTTAAGTTGGATTTTTTCTTATACTAGCTTAAAATTTTATTCCATCAAAAGCTATCATACTCAGTTTTCTCACAATCATACTCAAATTTCAATACTGTCATAACTCATTTCTCTGAATTATATACATAGGGTTTATTTTAATGATTTGTGACATTTAATGAAATACGGTTGTTCATTGTTATTTCAGAACAATGTAAGTTTAGAAAATTATAATTAACATGTTCAAAAGTTTAGTTTTAATGTGTTTATAATAATCAAATTAATAGACTACCTAAACTACCTCATGAAATAACATTTAAAGTATTCTACGCCTTCACAACTAAAAGTTTACCTAATTTATGACCTACTTCTGCATTTTGGCATCATAATTTCTTCCCTGCTTTGCTAATTACTACTTCCTGGCTTTTGAGAATAAAAAGCTCATTGCTGTATTCAGAAAGTAGTTAAAGAATCCTGTCATAACATAGGACTTGGTGTAAAAAATTTTTTTGGAAATATTGTCAAGGAAACTGAAAGCTAAAGTGGCACAAAAAAAGAGAAAGCAATGATATTAAAATTATTTAATTTTTAACAGTTTAATGAAACATTTGTCAAGCTCCTTTTGTGTGCCAAGACACTGTACTAGCTCATGTAAGGGATACAATGTAAATAAATGTATCCTGGCTTCAAAAAATGTATAATCTTATAGGAAAGAGACAATGCAAATACAACCAATACAAGAATTATGTGAATCCTGATGATCATGAATAATATAATGCAAAAAGAGAAGTAGAAAAGATTAGAATAAAATGTAGAAGGAAGACCCTAGGATCAGTCCTAAATGAAGTCATCCACAGGGCATGATTTGAAGGGCAACAGAGAACTCATGCTCCAACATATCCTCACCGGTCTCAAGAGACAACCCCATCAATCTCCATTAGTCATCCTTCAGCATGAAGACATGTAAAATGTGAATATTCTAGTTAGGCAGGACATATATTAATATAATACTATCAAGACATAGTTTGATTAAAATATCAATTTGGAGACACATACTGCCTTAGAAGTAAAGACAAAATAAGACTATGGGCCAGGCCAAGTGGCTCACACCTGTAATGCCAGCACTTTGGGAGGCTGAGGCAGGTGGATCACTTGAGGTCAGGAGTTCAAGACAAGCTTGACCAACATGGTGAAACCTCGTCTCTACTAAAAATACAAAATTAGCTGGGCGTGGTGGCACACACCTGTAATCCCAGCTACTTGGGAGGCTGAAGTAGGAGAATCACTTGAACCCGGGAGGCAGAAGTTGCAGTGAGCCAACATCACGCCATTGCACTCCAGCCTGAGCAACAAGAGCAAAACTCCATTAAAAAAGAAAAAAAAAAAAAAAGACTGGAATTTAAGTTTTATTTTTTATTTTTGAGACAGACTCTTGCTCTATCACCCGGGCTGGGGTGCAGTGGCACAATCTCAGCTCACACAACCTCCGCCTACTGCGTTCAAGTGATTCTCCTGACTCAGCCTCCTGAGTAGCTGGGATTACAGGCGCCTCCCACCACACCCAGCTAATTTTTGTATTTTAAGTAGAGACGGGGTTTCCCCATGTTGGTCAGGCTGCTCTCAAACTCCTGATCTCAGGTGATCCACTCGCCTTGACCTCCCAAAGTGCTGGGATTACAGGCATGAGCCACCGCATCTGGCCCGGAATGTAAGTTTTTAAAGTTGGAGCTAGAACAATTTTCCTGCAGCTTCTATTAATATTGACTGATTAACATAAGAAAGCCTTTATACTTAGGTGGTTTAGTGAGAGAGTAATCACTTACACCTGAAAGAAACCTTTGGGAACTCTGTTAATTCTTCCATTTTGCACCTGAGGAAATTGACGCTGAGGAACTGGAATCCAGGCCTCCTGAGTCTCCTTGTCCAGTCAGTCTCTTTAGACCACACTGCTCTTTCTTTGGATTCGATAATAGCTAATTTTCTTATATACCCTACTCCCACCCCATTAATGAGCTAAAATACCATTATACATCCTTCTTAAAGTGCTCATATAGGGACAAGCTATATTACTGATGATTAGAAATAATTATTTTTGTTGCAGCTGTGTCTTTAACATTAAAAAATAAAAAGTAAAGAAATAATTATTTTTGAGAATCATCCAGGAAAGCAATGGGGTAATAAAAATCATAGGCTGGGTGCGGCTACTCACGCCTGTAATCCCAGCACTTTGGAAGGCTGGGGCGGGCAGATCACTTGAGGTCAGGAGTTCAAGACAAGCCTGGCCAACATGGTGAAACCCCGTCTGTACTAAAAGTACAAAAATTAGCTGGGCGTGGTGGTATGCGCCTGTAATCCGAGCTACTCGGGAAGCTGAGGCAGGAGAATCGCATGAACCCGGAAGGTGAAGGTTGCAATGAGCTGAGATCGTGCCATTGCACTCCAGCCTGGGCGACAGAGTGAGACTCCGTCTCAAAAAAAAAAAAAAAAAAAAAAAAATCATAAATTTGTCTAATTAGATGGCTGACATGAGACCTATCACCATGCTTCCATTAACGCATCTAACAGATAAAAACTTTCATTTCCCTTACCTCTTAGCAATATTATAAAAGTACTTACAGTAGAGCTGCCCTAAGCTTTTCTGAGAAAGATGCCTTACAAATATACACAAGGAACATCTTTAGTTTTGTAATTCCTTTTCTCACGTATCTCTAACATTTGTCTCAAGTCTTCTATGTTCTTTTCAATGTCTTTCTAATGAATTCATGGCATTTTACCCATAAA